CACTGCAATGCCTTTGAGGTTGATGAAGGGAAGACCCGAGTTCTGGTTGTTGTTGTTGTTGTGCGTTACAATGGTGTGAGCGAGCTGAGGAATGAAATGGCCACAGTAGCTCTGGCCAGTTATGTAAAAATGCCTCTTCTTGTAATGTGGGAATCTTTGGAACCAGTTTACTAGGAAGGTGTATGAATCTTTGGCTGTTCTCCGGTCACCGGTGGTGTTGTAGTCCGAGCTGGTGTTGGAGTACGAAAACCCCACACCAGCCGGAGATTCCACGAACAACACATTTGCCACTGCCAAAACCAGATCAGAAAAATCAGATGCGTAATATGGAAAATCTTTAATTAATCCATTGGTGATATGATCTACCATTGTTCCAAGCATATTCATCCATGTACAGAGTTTTTCCATCGCTGCGGACTTTGTAAGGCCCAATCTCGAAGAAACCAAGGCTGGTGCATCCGGGTCCTGCAAATCAGCCATGAACAGTCACTTCTCGAAAGCTCTTGGATCTGACCAAAGAATCAATTTAGCTAAAAATTTAAGCGAACCCAGAAAAGATTTATGCTAAATGAAGCTATAGAATTATTCGATTCGGGCACAAACCTCCGGTGAGCCAGAGGACCAGAGGCTTGGCGGAGGAGTTGTGGGGCGATTCGGCCAGGTAGTAAAAGAGTGACCTTCCGGCGCGGGGGTCGACGGTGACGTAGCCGGAGTATTGGCCGAATTTGACGCCGGGGGGTTGTTTCGGCAGGGAAAGAATCTTGTCGGCCTTCATCAACCCTTGCTGAGGTCCAATATATACTGAGGAAGAAGAAGAAGAAGAAGAAGAAGAAGAAGAAGAAGAAAGAAGGTCTTCATCGGGCCACTCTTCTGAGAGGGGATGATGACTACAAATAGTATCATTATAATTGGGGGAGATGAAATTGGAGGCGATGAAGGAATGGAGGCGCTGAGCGTGAGTGGTGGTAGTGGCATGGCAGGGTATAATAATGGGAAGAAAAACCCATTGTTGCAGGGAGAGAAGAAGAAGAAGAAGAAGAAGCCATAGATTTACCATATTCATCTTCAATTATTAGCCAACCTTGCTCTTGGTTGACTAATGGTTAAGTATACGTACTACTCCGATTAAAAGCACTCGCTCTTGACATTGACACCAATTATTAGCCAACCTTGCACTTTATTCCATGCATAAACTATCTCTTCATTATTTACATGGTCAAATTTTATTCACTTTGTTGACCTATTTTTGTCACTCATTTGATAAAATAATATAGTCATTTCACCTCTTGTTTTGTAAATCTTTTGATATAGTTTTTTAATATGTAATTTTTATTTTTAAATTTTACACCATTTTTCATATAAAATGATTTGAAAATAACTTCAGTCAAACATCGTAACGCGCAACAGGAAGTTTATTTGTAGACTGAGGGAGTACTAGGTATGGGCATTTGGATGAAAGTTGAGGTCACATTAACACCTTTTGATTTGAGATAACCAAATTTGACATACTAAAAATAAAAAAAATGCAATTTCGTGAGTAACATATTTGTTACTTCCTCCGTCCCGTTTTAAATTGCATGTTTTGACTTTTGGGCATATTTAAGGAAAAGAAAAAATAGAATTGATTTTCGGAATTGTCAGTACTTTTTAGAAGGGATGACGATGAATGAGAAGATAATGCGGAGAAGAGTGACTTTTGGGTATATTTAAGGAAAAGAAAAAATAGAATTGATTTTCCGAAATTGTTAGTACTTTTTAGAATGGATGACGATGAATGAGAAGATAATGCGGAGAAGAGTGACTTATTTTAGAGGTAGTTTAGGTATTTTATTCTTAAAAGTTTACGAAAACAACTAGCAGGCAACTTATTTTGGGATGGAAAAAAAAGGCAAACAAGCAATTTAAAATGAGACGGAGGTAGTATTTAAAATGAAAATGAAATTAGGGAACCTATAAAGAGTCAAATAAGGGAGAAGTTTATGTTTGGATGATGGCATGGAGTAAATCAGCAAACGAATGTCTTAAGAAAAAGAAAACGTAGGAAGAATTTTTTTCGTACGGAGGATAAGAGCTGTTTTTGTGCTTTTATTATAAAGAGAAGAAAGGCATTACTTCATTTTCTTAATAAGGAAGCAACTTTACTCTGGAACACCCCTTCATGTGCAGTTAGATTTGCGTTTGTTCGAACCCTACATGGGAATATTATTGAACTTTTTTTAAAATTACGGAAGGTGAAATTCGAATAGTGACCTCTTGATCAACAAGATATCAATATCATGTCAATTAAAGAACCAAACCGACTTGACCAAAAATTCAAGATTATGATTGTAGACTCAAGAATTTTTCTTACACTTCAACACATTCTCAAACGATACCTTAGTGGGTAAAAAGCAAAAGTGGTTTCTCAAAAAGGTGAAACACAAACCTCAGACACCCCACACGCGGTCAGACAAAACAGTGAAGAGATACATCACATTTTAATCTTAGTTTAGTCTTTAAATAGACCGTTTCGTGCCCGGCACAAGAAGCTATCACATTACATAAATCTCGAACTTAATACTTCTCCATCAAGAGCAACTAAGCTATGTGGGCACGAAAATAGATTCTTGTATAATTGGAGGTGCGGCAAATGAGAATGGCGTGCGCGGGCATGGTGGTGTGTGTACAACACCATGAAAAGACACGTTATATGTTACGGGACTATTACTATTATTATTATTATTATTATATTATTATTATTAGTATTATTATTATTATTATTATTATTATTGTAGGTAAAGAGTTATTTATAGTTAGATAATTATTATTAGAGAATATTATTTTTGTTAGGTTATTAATTAGTTTCTTATTTTATTTAGTTTCCTTTTAGAGATTGGATTCCCTTAGGCTTTTAGAGTTTCACTCTATATATTGAGATGTATTGCTTTAGAATTAAATCAATAAAGAACAATCATTTTCCAATCCTAATCTCTTCCTCTTATCTCTCGTTCTTCTCTTCCGCCGAACAAAGATTCGCGGTTCTCTCCCTCTTCTCGTCTCTTTTTCTCTTGGAGCTTGAAGAACGCTCGAAGTTCTTCCCTATCCCGATACGATACCGTATCATTATACACAAGAGTATCATCGAAAAATCTAGGAATTTCTTGGGATATGGGGGAGTAAATGGAGTCACTAGCATCTAGTAACTTAGATTTACATCGACGTTGAGGGTGAGGAAAATATATGTATCGGAATGTCAAGTATCTAACACTTGTAATCAAGAAATTTTTTTAATATGTACTCCGTATATAGAAGATAGTACAAGCTACACAGAGTAATTCTCTGTACAAAGAAAACAATTATTTTTGTCATCATCATTATTACTAAGACTATTATTTGGTGTAGTAAATGTGGAAAAGATGAGGGTATGGAGGTAGGTCGCGTTCTGTCGCATCTGATATGATTTTTTGAGAATCTGTTCTGATCTGATTTGCTCTAAGCATATTGTAATTATATTTAAAACATTTCTGATATGATATGATTTGTATTTATATACGCTGCCCGTAGATATCTTTTCAAAACGCTAACGCTAATCTCTAACGCTATTCCCAAACAGTCCCTATATTTAAAACTATTTCTGATATGATTTGATCAGATTATATTTATATTTAATAAATTGAAAAATAAGTTGAACGAAACGCAACCGTAATTCGGCTGAAATATTATTTTTCTTTATTTTTTATCACTTTGTAGGTACCAACACATGCCTCATAACTTGAACTCTCCATTTAAAATGCCACATATTCTGCATAGTTGGCAACTCGGAGTATTGATATAAAATTGAGCAATTTCTTGGAATAGGAGTGTAAAATATTGAACTTCGAAGTATTAATATAAAATCACAAATTTCTTGAAGTACTCGTGTGAATTTTTCCAAAGTTCAATTATAGATCAAAATTTAAAATCCATCCTATATCATCATTTCTTTATATTCCTTATTTTTTGATTTCTTTAATCAGCCAAACAAAACCTAAAAACTTTGAAGATGGGACTCATGGAAAAAAGAGAAACGGAAGAAATGAATCACATTCATTTGAATTATGGGCGTACACACACCATATGCTGTTGTTATAGTACCAAATTAAAGTGTAATGGACCCACCACAAAAGACTAATGCCTCCACCGTCCATATTTAGGGGCCTTAATTACCAAGCAATTCATTACGTGCTATTGGTGTTATTAGTACTCATTTTAAACCCACTAACTACACTTGCAAATCAATTTGATCCATTTATGTTGTCTCTGGCTCTTGGGTCAAATTAATCTATGTAGCTAAGAAGTATGGGGTGATTTCCTTGATATTGCTAAGCAAATCATTGTCATGAAATGACTTTGAAGTCGTATGTTGTTGTATTCGTAAAATTGACGGTTTCTATCTCTTTAATTAATTTTCAATCTTGTTTTGACACAAACCTACATCTTCATTTGCACCCACAAAATATTTGACTTTGTAGTCAATAAAATTGACTTTAAAGTTAAATAAATTTGAGAGTACAATTGAAAATGGTAAAGGTAGGTTTACTTGGAGTGAGGTGGGGGGTATCGTAAAGATTAGGAGTAAGAACCATCAATTTTACGAACATGACATTATGTGAGTCTCAATTGGGCTCATGTCATCGGATGACATTCGAGATTGTTATTCTGTATTAAAATACTAGGTTAACACGTTAATTGACACAAACCTCGTGTCAACAGGACGTTTCAGTAAGCCCATTAAGATAATTTTTTTCTAGAAAAATGATTATTGATTCATATTGCTGATTATAGAGATTAGTTTAACTCAACGCATCATATGGAGTATTTATTTTTTGATTCGATCAGTTCGGACAATATTTGATTTGAGGATCTGAGGTCTTAAAGCCCATGGGCCTAAGCCAGAGGAGAGATACGGGCCGATTGTGAAGTAAACTTCTGTTCAGAATAAGGTCCAAATCAATTGCAAACGCAGAAGTCCGAACGGAATACGCAGTCGTCGACGGCGGCGACGCTCTATTATACCCTTTTGCTCCCGCCGGCTCCTCCCAATTCGAGCTCCCCGCCGGAGCCGTTTCCGCTAAGATCAGTGGAAGATTAGAAGCGATTTAAGACCAAATCCCATGGAAAGGGACAACTCCAGCTCAAAACGCCCTCTTTTCTGCCTGAAATGGCCGTGGGAAACTGCAATCCCTAACCAGAACAACCCTAGAAGCCCTTGCACGCTCGAAACCCCATGGCTGTTCAGATCCTTCCAAAATCTGGCCTCTCTGGCCGCCAATTTCATCAACACCGCGCCGAGATCCAGAAACTCTCCGCTCGGAGGGATGATGAGGAAGAAATCGAGTCCGGAGGAACAATCCGCGGCGGAGCAGGGCGCGTTTGCGGCGGCGCTGGCGAGCGACAAAGCCGCGACGGTGCTGGAATTCTACTCCCGCAAGTGCCAACTCTGCAACTCCCTGTCGAAATTCGTGGCCGAAGTCCAGAAACGGAACGCCGATTGGCTCAACATCGCGTTCGCCGACGCCGAGGACGGCCGGTGGTTGCCTGAGGTACCCGCATTTCCTCAGTCCCCGCTTTTTTTTGTCTTCCTGTGTTATTTAAACTCTGAATCCTCCTCCTCCTCCTCCTCCTCCTCCTCCTCTTCCGCCATAGCTGCAGCATTATGACATAAAGTATGTTCCATGCTTTGTGGTGGTGGACAAGGAAGGGAGGGCGCTGGCAAAAACAGGGGTTCCTTACAGCAGACTCCATGTCGTTGCAGGTGTTTCTCATCTCCTTAAATTGGGACGCCCTCACAGAGAACAAAACCCATGATCTCATCATCTCTCATATACTCTTACATTGCTGCAATTCTTGAAGAACAGGGGCGACTATTGTTGTCAAATACAAGAAGCTTTGTTGCTCTATATATAGCCTTTGACAACTTCCCTTTGTCTGACAATTGTGTATCTGTGTTTCTGTGTAAGTCTTGGTGTGCATTTGGTATCACATATTTTGGTGTCCCACAAGTTAATTTTGAGTCTGAATTGATCTCCCAAATTTCAAAATATCAAAACATTTACTCCATATTTGAGAAGAGTAGAAGAGTATGATATTGAGAGGTATCAAATCTAAGCTCACCAAAGATAAGAACCTCTTAGTCATTACTTTTCATACTTAATTTCTAGATTTTGGTTAGATATCTCACTTGCTAGATTCTAAACTTCTATCATTACATTTCAAGCATTAGACTCTAGTCACTCTATTCTAAAAATGTTTCATAGTTTTCAAACTTATTGTGGTGTTAAAGATTGTGTGACAATTTGTAATGCCAAACTTAAAAGGTAATCTAGGTTTTTACTCCCTAATTATTTCCTATCACATGCCAAAAACACCCCTCTATTGGTTTTGCAAGTTAGACACCAAAGGGTCAAAGTGATCAAGTTTGGATAATAAAATGATCATTTTTAGTCGTCAAACCCAAGTTTTCACTCTTTCATCAGCCCTTTAATTTTTTTTAATGGTTTATAAGTAAATTTTAATTTTAATTGCTTGTAAATTTGTTCTTTAATAATTCATCCCTATAAAAAATCAATCGATCCTCCCACCAATCACATGACCAAAACCTAGTTGATATCTTTTTTACAATGATGAGTTCATTAAGAAAAATTGTAGAACCAAAAACAAAACTTGTTAATTATACAAATGATAAACATATTTAATTCTTTTTTTTTATTTGATTGATGATCGGAATCAATAAAATTGATTGAAGAAATTAAACTAGGTCAATGCACTCATGCTTAGAGTACCCCAAGTGTGACCCTATGTTTGACACCACAGCCTTTACAGACATGAAACATTATTCCATGTCTATAATGTCTATAAAAATTGTAGTGTCAAATTTGGGATTACACTTGAGTCACCCAAGGTTAATTCTTTCTTTTGCTCTCAAATAAAACATTTGAAAAGCCCAAAGGTTAACTCTTTGATAACAAAAAAAAATGTTTAAAACAAAAATGGTGTATAGGTTAGTGGTGGTGTGTACACAGAGCACCAACCAAAAAATACAGCATAACAAAATAAGAGGACAAAAAAAAAGCATTTGAAAAGCCCACAGAACTTTACAGAGTTGGGTAAGTTACAGGTACAAAATTCACATATAGTACAATACAATATGAACATTTTTTTTGGCAGGAGATGAAAGTTACTTGGCAAATCTAGAAGGAATATATTCATCAATCCTGAGGGGATAGCTATAGAATTCGTCGTTTCGGCTATCTCCTCTCCTCCTCTGGAATGGGACTAACCACGCGACGCCTCTCTCTTCCAATGTGTCCCGAGCTCGCAGCGTGTTGTCCAAAACTGTCCCAACTATCATTGCAACACTTGCCGGCGACGAAAATATTGTGTTCAATATCCCATTGAACTGTAAATAATTAAAGTAAAAAAAATTCTCACCCTTACAGTGGCTACCTAGTAAACATCTGATGTTGGATACTAGAACTGCGGCTCTCCTGTTTAGTATCCCACATCAGACAATGTTTTTTTTGGTTCTGAGAAATATTTTTAAAAATTGTGGTGTGCAAGATAGAGAATACAAGGGTGGTGTCCTAAAAAAGGCATTTTTAGGAAAGAACGATAAGTTTGTACATCCTTCGTCCCAAAAGAGAGTTGCATTTCTAATATATAATATTAGAATTGTGGCTCTCTTTTTTGGACGAAAGGGGTATTTCTTACCCATCCGGCGTGGGTCCTAAGAGGTCCGTGGCCACCAATATCTGTCTTCATCACGAAATATTGCGGTATGGTTATTCCCATGAACAGAGACACACCCAATACGTAGATGTTTCGCATTGAGTTGCTGTTTGCAAACTGAATGAACGAAACCCCGACCGCAGCTGCAATGAAAAGGGTATTTTAGGCAAATATACATCGGGAAATGCCAAAAACCAAGTCCTTGTTTGGTAGGGGTTAAAATATATTTCAACCAAATAAGTCAAAGGCTACTTGTAAATATTGTTCTGTTGATAAGCATGATTAGGCAATTGATGCTGCCAAACGGGAGCTAAGAGAACGTGAGGACTCACAGACAATGCCATACAGGATGCAATATACGGCCGCAAAAATTGGCAAAGGAATAGATGCAAAGAGAGCTCCAAATTTCCCTGCAAGAAAGACAAAACTACCCTTCATAAGTGTTCAACAAATCATGGCTTGGTCACACAGTTGGATGATTCTGATCGAGCACATGAAACCGTAAAAAGCAATGTCGGGTCAAATGAGAGAGGGAGAGAGTCAAACCAAATATAGAAAAGAAGATCATGAAACCACTGGATATCTCCACAACTCTTCTGCTCCCGACTCGAGTTAGCCCGAGTAAGCCCACATTCTCACTGCATTTCCCCATGCAAACTTCAAGTTAGGGCCAGAAATGAACACATACAGAAAGGATACAAATCACTTCATGTCTCAATTCGCAGTCATATTAGAATTTAGAAATCCTAACTATCCATGATTCAGAGTATTTGCTTTTTTAAAAATGAAACATTTGTTAACCAAAGAAGATTAATCAAATCTGAAGCGCAATAATAATTCCTTACACCGATGCAGTTGTACCAACAACACCACCAAAAAACCCATCAAGGAGCTGTCCTATACCCTGCAGTCAACGAAATGAAAACAATATATATTAATGTATTAAAACTCCAAAGAAAATGAGATGAATTGGTAAAAGAAAAAAAAACATTTAGTAATTTCCATATGACTAAAATAACCTGAAGGCCAATGCTTCTGCTTATAACATATGCAGGAGGGATTGTGGCACCTGCTAGCCTTGACGCTGCATAAAATGTTGTGATGCACTGGAAAAGAGACAGGCATAATTAATAAATTTTAGGTATTTCTTTTAACTTAATTCTATTTTTGTATTTTTAATACATAAAACTTGAGAAATGTAAATATGTGTGAAACTCTAAAGGTTTTGATCAAATGTGATTTCTCTGTATAGTCCATCATGCAACCAAACATTAAAAATATTGATTTCCTTTTGTGTTTTCCCCTTTCCGTACAGCTTTCCAAATTAAAAAGACAGCCTTAATTAATCTCTAGACATTTCATTTCAGTAAAAAATAACAATTTTTCCACACAAAAAAACCATTTAAAAAAAAATGACAGACCTCTGCGGACGTAACCAGGGCAGCCCCCATCATTCCAAAAACATGGCTTGCTCTAAATATGGGAGTACCCCACTGGAAAGGATATGGAATCTTGATCCTAAACCAAACGGAGCGCAGCAAGAGTTGGTCAGAGTTTAGCCACAGACAGACAAATCCCTATTGTTGAGATAGATAGATTGCGGTATAGTACTACCATGGAGCAGATGAAATAAGGTATGAATGGTCAGTACAGCAACTCTGCTTGGTGCTCTCCTTAACATGTTTGTAAGCACCGGCTTCAGTAAGAATAGCAGCAAAAGCCCACATGAGACCGACGCAAAAGAGCAAAGCAAATCTTTCAAGCATGGGGCTCGCAACTCGATGGATTCGTTGCAGATACTGTAGATTACATGTTACTTATTACTCCGTAATAGTTTGCATACTATAAAATATTATAAATTCTGTATTCATTTATTTCCATGCCTCATAAGGAACCAACATAGTCAAAAGCTCAAGTTCGTGATTAACTAATTAATTCTTTTTGCACAAACCATGCACGCCCATCAACTTTTTTCTTAAGTGGGTGGCAGAAAGATCTGAACTTGTTACCTCTATGTCAACAAGGCTTTGATATCATGAAAAAGACCCAACTCAACCAAAAGTTCAAGCTTGTGAAGACCCAAGAAAGGATTTTTACACTTACAAAGTCATATTGATTGTATGGAATCGTATCATATATAAACCCATATGTACCATATTTACATTTACATTCAATAAAAAAAACTTTGGCATTTGGTCTCAACACTGAGTTAGTAATATGAGCAGAGTAAGAAACATTACCTGTTGGAATATAACTAGCAAAATTAGCATAGGGAGCCCAATCTGGATACAATCAGCAAGCTGCAAAAGTAGAGGAGAAGCGATACACCTATCAGGGAAAAATGTTATGCCAATCTAATAGCTATATATTCCCTCCGTCCCAAAGTGAAGTTTACCCTTTACGTCCCAAAATAATGTTGGGGAATTTACCTATATAGTACTAAAAAATACTCCCTCCGTCCATTTTTAATGTTCGTACTTTCCTTTTTAGTCCGTCCATAAATAATGTTCGTGTTTCCATTTTTGGTAATCTTTTTTACACCAAAAGACCTAATTACCCTTTATTCCTATCCTCTTTTTTTTCTTTTCCTCCACACTCCACCCCAGCCCACACAACCTCTTTTTTTCTTCTTTTTTCTTCTCTTTTCTTCTTTCCTTCTTCTTTCTTCTTTCCTTCTCGGCTTCTCCACTTCGGTCCTTTTTTTTTGCCCAGGTTTCTTCCTCTTCTCTCTTCCCTTCTTTTCTCAGGTTTCTTCCTCTTCTCTCTTCTCTTCTTCTTCCTCCTCCTCCTCCTCCTCCTCCTTCTTGTTCTTCTTCTTGTTCTTCTTCGGATTCTTCTTCTTATTCTTCTTCTTCTTTGGATTCGTTGTCTTCTCCTTCGGATTCTTCATCTTTCCTTCGGATTCTTCGGATTCTTCGTCTTCTTCTTCGAATTCTTCATTTTCTTCTTCGGATTATTCAGAATTGGCCCAGATCTTAGAAATATAATTCAGATCTATGAAGGGGATGGAAGATGTCAGGGCTTAGATCTTAGAATATTATTCGGATTCTTCATTTTCTGCGATGGATTGCCGGAACATGTCTGATTTTGGATGATAGGGTTGGGCGGCGGGGCTATGCTGGCGATGGAAGACGTCGGATCGGCCTGGACATTGAGGGGAGTGGGTGACGGTATCGTGGGGAGGAAATTGGAGAGGGTATAATTGGAAAGTCAATGTAAAATTTAACATTCCTTAATCTCCGTGCCGGGTCAAACTCTGAACATTAAAAATGGACGGAGGGAGTAGTGAGTTTTCCAATGGAGTATCATATGTTTTGATTTCCCAATGTAGTACCACTGGACAATGTTCAAGTAAATGTCCACCGCCACTGGACATTGTTCAAAGCAAATGTCCACTGCCACTGGACATTGTTCAAAGTAAATGTCCACCGCCCATAAAAAGTTTTAGGTACTACATTGGGAAAAGAGATATGTTTTAGTATTATTTAGTGCAAATTTCACAATAGAGTTTGCACTTACTTTCCTGTTAAGGAAAGGAAAATGTGGCTCAAAGCAATNTTACCATTGGAAAGCCCCTTGCAAATAAACCAAGACCTAAAACAGATACCAGCGGAGCTATAACTACTGGGCTGAAGAGCCTGCAGTGAAAAAGATTGCAGGAAAAAATTACATCAAGAAAAATGACGGACCAAGACCTAATCATCTACCCTTTAGTTAGTTTTTCTAAACAAACACAAATTCTGTTGGCCATAATTGGCATTAAATACTTCAGTTTATTTAATCAATTACCATTTATAACACAAACTAAAACCAATATCCAAATTTGTCCAGAATAGTAAACCAAAACAAGGGCACATCAAACTAACAGTGGTTCTACTTTTAAAGTCTGAGTTTTTTTATTATTGAAAAAAGAAAACAGATCAGCAAAGAAAGAAAAATGTGGCTTCTTTAATTGATTAAATCCCATATAAACAAAGAAAAATATAAACAGAAACAAAATATAACTCGTTTATATACGAGTAGTAAAAGTAGGAACTTTTCGGCAGAGTTAGAGAAGTGTACCTTGTAAGTTTTCCCCAGACCTGACCATAGCCAAGAATGATATTAATAAACGAAGAGACAATTAGCGAACCTTGTATGCCTCTCATTGTGTGGAGAAATCTCTACAAGAGCCAACACAAAAAGACATTCTACTTATGGGCAAAAGTTAAGAAACGCTTTAACATCCGTTTACTATAGACAAAAAAGACACAAATGCACAATGAAGAATGATAACAACCTATTAATTACTCCCTCCATCCCCCAAAGAACTTCACACTCTCCTTATTTGGATATCTTAAAAAAACATTAACAATTCTACCTTTCCTTAAATAGATAAGGAATATGTGGCCCACAAAATTTTTCTTCTTAAACAAATTTCACCCACACACTTCACTTTTCAAACTTTTTTTTGGAACTTTGTTAACTTAAACACTGAAGTTCTTTTTAAGACGGAGGGAGCACTTCTTTTAACACCGAAAATGATTTACCTCATGCGGAGAAGAAAAGTAACCATCAGAAAAATCATTTATGACTGACAGTGCTGATATAACATAAGCAAAAGAAGGACCCATGACTGTCGGAAGCCGTGTCCCAAGAAGCGTCTGGAGAAGTGTATTCACTCCAGATGTAAATAGCAAGGCTTGAATCACACGGGCCCTATCACCCTGCTCCAAAGATTTGGTTTCTTAGTAAAATTAAGATGATGACAAATTGATGATAGACCTCAAATAACTCTCATGTAAGGGGAATGGTAAGGGCATACCGCACCCCCACCCATACGAGGCACAAGCAGGTTCACAATCATCACTGTTGTTCCAAGCATAACCACATAGTGTTGGAAAGCCAGCAAGAAAGTTTGAGCTGAAAAATCATATGTCATACTTACCCTAGTAAGCCAAGATTCACAAATAACATACTAGTATAAAAATATTCACATAGAGAATCTTTCCAACTAGGGGCAAGGTCTATGTACACACACCCTCCACACTACTTTTTGTGGGATGTTACTGGGTTTGATGTTATTGGAGAGAATCTACTCACATATGTTGGCAATGGCTATGGTGGTTAGGGTTATTCACCATAACTGGTAGAGTGGTAGCTAAGGTGGTGTACTGGTGTTTGTCAGTAGGGGATTTAGAATGGTGCAAGTAATTGTTTGAAGAGAATGTAACTAATGGTTATACAAACCATTTTCCAAGTCAATTACATATTCCAATGGTAGCGTGGTAGTTCAATTCTCTTGTGAGTGAGTGTGGCCATCTAGCAATCAATGAGAAACAAGTCATTCATTATGGTAAATACTCCTTATTTGTGGAAGCTCGAAAATGAATGATGCTGAGTGTGGCCATATAGCTCTGGTTGGTCATAGAGCTAGGATTAATTGGGCAAAGCTCGAAAACCTAAGTGTATAATTAATGAGATGACCTTAATTGGACTAAACATATGAGGAAGTTTTTTGTTGCTATAACTAACAAGGTGTTGAAACCAAGAGTACAAATACCTCAGACGTGTAAAAAAACAATTCGCCGCTTGAGATCCCTCTCGTATTTAAGGTAAAATTTTGTCGTTTTTATTTGTGTCATTACTATGTTGCTTGTGGAAAATGAGGCCATACTTAGAAATAGAAGTATTTGAGGTTTCTTTGATTCTCTAACTTTTCTTGCCTCGAGTAGCTTGGATTTCCTAATCATATCTTCTTCATGTTTTTGTTGATTTCTCTACATGTAGTAGGTGAGCTTATCATCATCATCATCATCATCATCATCATTATTATTATTATTATTATTATTATTATTATTATTATTATTATTATTATTATTATTATTATTATTACTACTACTACTACTACTACTCCGTACTACATTATGTGGGTAAAGTCTCCATACATCTTGGCCCAGACCCTACTATTGTGTGAGATATATTGGTTGTGTTTGGTTTGGTTACTTAATCACTCTGCACAGAATATTATATATATTCTCATAAAGATACTTTTTTTATGAGATATACTAAAGTTAACTAACACATCAGCCCTAAAAATTCATTTTGTGTCTATGTACATATCCAATTTGATCCAAAGTAACTTTAGAACATCCATTGGAAAAGCATAGCTTTATGAGTGTTCTGTATGACTTTATTATATTCTGTATTTGATGCCCCAAAAAGTGAATGCACAGTAACATTTAAAATAACATTTTTGTTTAGAAATACAGAATATTTTTTTAAATGAATTCTTTTTGCAATATTATGTGGTAAATGGTTGGATATTGAAGCTTTAAAACTTAATTTGTATAATATTAAATTTAGTATGGTCAATTAAATAAAGTTCACATACTCTAAAACTATTTATTTAAGAAGAACATTACAGTAAAAGAAGATAAGGTAAGAAATGAAATGGAATTTGAGTCATCAATTGCAACAAATGAAGCACTTAATTAATGCATCCTAAAATTACAAAAATAATAAAATGAAAATATAATAGAAAAATAATAGCTAGATTCAAGGCATCCATGGAGTATAATTTAACATGAAATAAGATTTTTTTAAAAAATTAAAAATAAAAAGTGAAAATTGTGTGAGAATAAAGAGAACTGACGCCAGGAAGGGTTGGAGTGTATGCAGTAGTGAAGCTGAAGAAGCTGCTCGGCGGGAGGGTAAATTGGGCCTCTTGCTGCACCGAGCGGCATCACCGGCGGCGGATGAGCCGCCTCTGGCTGCGGTGGTTGGTGGTTGTGATCACCCATTTTTACTCTTTATTTCTTTTCTTTCCCTCTCTCTATGAATACCCAGAAACTCCCCTCTCTTTCTCTTCTTCTTCTTCTTCTTCTTCTTCTTCTGCAACCTCGTTACCAAGAAATCTAAAACCCAGTTACAAAAAAAAAACTTTATAAACACGGGAAAAGGAAGCGCTGCTAGGCTGAAGATCTCTGGGGTTTTCAAGAAACAACAGAGAGGGGTGAATTCATAAGAAACGCAAGAATTGAAGGGGTGGTGGGGAGAAAGAAAAGAAGGGTCATGTTAAAAATGACGTTAGAAAAATCGTCCTTTTTCGAGGAAAAAAGAAAAAGAGAAGACCAGTGGGACATGTAGGGCCCGCATGGGTCCACGGTTTCCGATGAGAGTGAGATAATTTGCACACTGCCCCCTTGCTTCCAACTTTATAACACTTTCAGGCACGTTCTAATTCTGTTTTACGGAATATTTTTATTTATTTATTTATTTAATTTTTGAGGAAAACAAACCACGTTCTATTCAATTTCCAGGTAGATCGTGAGAATTCGGCGTGCTCAAAATTAAATACGGAGTTGAGTAGTAAATACAGCGTGGAAGATATGTGAAGAAGTATTTTACCGAGTAAAAAACTTTAAGAAGGAAAATATCGTTTAATGGTTTCAAGGATTAATTTAGTGAGTAATTTGAAAAAGATAAATTGAACGCTAATTTCTAGAGATGAGAGTGAAATTTGTGTTTGGATGTGTGAGAATTTTATGTTGCATATGGTCATCCTTTGTCACTCTTATCATGGTTTAATTTGAGTATTACGTGTCTTTGTATTTTTATTGACCAACTAAACTACGTTCCTACAAATTTTTTATACTAGTCCAGCATTATAATATAGTCTCATAATATAGTTAAAATTTTTATAATAGTCGTGCATCAAAATTCTAGCACTATGTTTGTTCAAAAATTTTGAGAGAGAAAGAAAAAGAAAATGAGAAGAAAAATATTTTTCGTGTTTGGTAAGAGAGAAAAAGAAAACAAGAAGGCAAAATATATAAATAGGAAGGAAAACCAAATTTCTCTTATTTTGGTGAGAAAAATGAGGCAAAACTTTTTTTTTCTTTTCCTTCCAAATTCCTCGAACCAAACATAGTGTAAAGGGTAAACTTTTTGTAGTAACCGCCAAACGATCCACCGCACTATGGGCCCACAACAAGAAACCACGACTTTCAATTCAGCCTTACCCATTAGTGTAGAATGCGCGTCCCTACACGTTTGGTCGTATTCAATTTAGGTTAAGATTTTTTAGAAGTGCATGTACATCTAAACCGAAACTTGAACTCAAGACTTCCAGCATAGAGGCCTTCTACACTAGCCCATTTTTAAGGCGTCGGTACAGAGGCCGCTATATTGCGAACAACCAAATGTCATCATCTATTTATATAAGGTAGTATAGAAAAAAGTATGCTCCGTATTACTCCGTTTATAGAACATTAAAGATATGATTGGAATAAGTATAGTCAATGGGTGATATAAAACTTTTATTTGAAGATATAACTCAAATGATCAAACCCACCAATATTTTCACAATTATATAAATCTCAATGGAGCATTAGGTTGGAATCAATTTGGTTGTGCTTTACTTTAATGAAACATGGATGGGCATGGAGTCACCTTACTCATTACATTCATAATTTGGAGGAGCTTAAACAAACAAAATAGTATGCCGCCTGCTTAACCAAACTTGGTATACAATGGAGTAGAACTTTAAAGCCTGCCAAACTTGACTCCCCAATTAAGGATTTTTTTTTGCATGGAGTAGAACTTGGTATACAATGGAGTATAACTTGGTACACTTGAGATTTTGAAGTATAAGTGTTGGTCTATGTTGGTGACATTACATCATTTATAAAAGAATACATTCAGTTATTTGCATTGAAAACCCTAAATGTTTGCACAAATAAAGGAAAACATGGTGCCATAACACATTGTGAAATGGGAGGGTAACTAACTACACAAATAGCAAGCATGGATTCAATATGCCATGTCTTTCAATTATATTTGACACCTTCACAACTTAAAATGAGAAATATATACATACTCATTTCTCAACCACCCTAGTTCCAAAAAACAAGCCAATGATATATGGACAGCCATTAACATAAATTGAGTGGAAATTGTTGTTTTGGCCCCTCAAGTGTTCTTGAATATGTAGCGCAACCATTTGTTGTCCATTCATGCAATCCAACCCCTAGCTTAAAATGTCATCAACTCAGTCTCTCGCATCCACTTTTGTAGACCTGAATCAACTATATTTTAACAAAGGGGTTGGATTGCATGAGATGTACAATTGAAGGTCACATTACGAAAGGATGGATAAACAAGGGACCAAAGTAGCAACTTTTCACGACACTAACAATCGAAAAGAAAAACAAAGATGTTTAAGCACATCTATCGACATACTTCAAAACTTCACCCAGAGTTGGAACCATCTCTACCAGCCAATAATAGGGCATGGAAAGTGATGGCAAAGTAATCAAGAGTTGCAGTGAGTAGTTAGATATCTTCCTTCTAGAAGGAGGAGGAGGGGAAAAGGGTCAAGAAAAGGCAAAATCATTCATCTTCATCTGTGAGCTATGCAGAGTGCTTGATACTTTAGAGGGCGGCCAATACCGGAAAACTGATCTGCCAATTATGTTTTCAACCGGAAGTGGACCCCTAACAATAATGAAGAAGCTTTAATTTATTAACATCATGATATATACAAGATCAGCCTATGAAAAATTACTCAGTTCCAACATTTAAGAATCCCAATCTAAAATGCCTTGCTATTTACTCCCTAGAATTTTTCAATTTCAATATGAACACTTAGGAAGACAGGAAGGGAGTATGCAAATTATTAAATAAGATCACATGGGAAAAAAGACTAAGATCGTATGGAGTACCAGTTGTGAGAGTCGAAGCTATTGTTGCGGTTGTCCCCCAGAACAAACACATGGCCTTCAGGAATAAGCTAAATAGTTGCCCAGAAACACGTTAGTTCTTAGCAGTAACAATAGCCAAAAGGCAAAAACCTGTATATAATGTAGTAATATGAGGTGGAAATGGTATTATTACCACTGGTTCCATTTCATAAGCAAGGGGCTCTAGAATGAATTCTTCATCTTCAGCAACACCATTCACATGCAGTTTCCCACCACAAACCTATACACCGGAAAAGAATCATGAATATTTATACGCTCAAGGATTAAAATGTGTGAATAATCACTCATACTCCCTCCGTCCCAGGAAGAATGCCACGTTTACTATTCTGGCCTCTCGATAACTTTTGTTTGTTTACTCGTTTTGGTTGACCATTTGATAAAATAAAATATTCTTGTCGCATCTTGTTTTGTAGAGCTTTTCATATACTTTTGAATGGTGTAATTTTTACTTTTTATTACTCTACCAATTTGAAATTGAAGTGATTTTAAAAGAGATGATATTTTGCACGTCGTTCGAAGTGTTGCAAATAAATTGGGACGGAGGAAGTAACAGAGATGGAACTTACTTCAACATAGTCACCAGCTGTCGCTACGACCCTTTTTATGAACACTTCTCCCAAACTAAAGCCGAACTCCTACACAAGGGTGCATTCAAAATGTAACCTTGGTGAAACGTGTCGGAACTAATTGGAGGAAATGCAAGAAAGAAACCTGAAGAATCGAAGGAGCTTTGAAAATCACAATGTCTGAAACTTCGGGCTTCCTAAACATGTAAGAAACCTGAAATTCCAGATAGAACAGGATGAGTTTCAACACAACAAAAGCAACCTTATGTTATTTCAATAACATCCCAAATACTGCAACACAAAACATTCTTTTCATTATTCAGTTACATCATTAATATAAATACGTAGTAACAAGCTCAGAGAAGTAAATAATGTGAGTTACGAATTGATTCTAGCAGTTAGGTGACATACAGAGTAGCAAACCAGTACTGCAACAGCATACATTTAAATGGCATATAAATATAGCCATTAGCCAACAAGTCATCATCATATATATGCAAGAACAAACCAAGTGAGCAGAGAAAATGTTACAAAATCACAATGCAAAACCAGAACTATCATTTCTGAAACATGACAACTAAAATATTAACACTGATACAAGAACAAACTAAAAGTAAGTGAGCAGAGAAAATGTCACAAAATCACATCAAAAGACTAGAACTTTCATAGTTTATTTATGAAACATGATCACTAAATGACTAAAATCTTAACACCGATCCAAGAACTAACTAAAACTAAGCGAGCAGAAAAAATGTCACAAAATCACAATGCAGAACCAGAACTTTCATAGTTTCATTTATGAAACATGATCACTAAAATCTTAACACCGATTCAAGAACAAACTAAAACTAAGAGAGCAGAGAAAATGTCACAAAATCACAATGCAAAACCAGGATTATCATTTCTGAAACATGATCACTAATATCTTAACACTGATCCAAGAACAAACGAAAACTAAGCGAGCAGAAAAAATGTCACAAAATCACAATGCAAAACCAGAACTTTCATAGTTTCATTTTTGAAACATGATCACTAAAATCTTAACACTGATTCAAGAACAAACTAAAACTAAGCGAGCAGAGAAAATGTCACAAAATCACAATGCAAAACCAGCACTATCATTTCTGAAACATGATCACATCAATCTTAACACTTAATCAAGAACTAACATTCGTATGAAAAACTTGGCAAACTATACCTTCTCTGCCATTATGCGGTCACCCATATTGAGAGTAGGGTACATAGAACTGGAAGAGATAGACTTAGGCTCCGCAAGAGAAGACTTAAACAGTATGCTGACACTCAAAGCTGTGAAGGCGGCCTTTGTATCCTCCGAGCAGGCATTAAGCATCTTCGAGAACCAAGTTGAGGTCCCCTTTGAGAGCATCAAGCCATTGGACAAGATAGCCACGGAGACAGAACCCTCCTTGTTCGACTGAGGAACTGTCACGCCCTTATCCACCTGATGAGCACTGGCAGATGCACCAGCCTCAGACTCTCCACCCGGCAACCATTTTGACACTTCCAGAAAGGGGACGATCGACGCCCTCCTGAGGGGTGAAACAGCGATCGTATTGGAAACCCCATGAGAAGATGACTTCAACAACGAACCCAATCCAGCGATCGGGGGAAACGTCCTAGAACTTCCACCGATGAACTCATCAGATGCCCCAGAAAAAGCTGGCCTACTTGACAAGTACGGACTAACGGGCTCAGTCCGTCGGAAATCAAAGGTCTTCGAATCCGGGATCTGGAAGAACCGGGAGCGGGTCGAGAGGAATTCATTGAACAATCGGAAGTTTCCTGCCTTGGAGGAAGCGGAGGAGGCAAGATTATGGGTGAGGTGGCCGGTGTAAGCGACGGTGAGCCGGATCGCCATGACCGAGAACTGTAAACAGCTAAATAACAAACAAAAAACAGCAGGTTCGAATAGTAAAGGTTGGGATACCGAACAGATCTCTACAAGAAGCCGAGTTATAACATTTTCAATGAGTGAACCACCATGTTTGGATCCACAACGATAAATTGAAAGGTGAGACCAAACGGTTAGGGATGAAGGCCGCGATGAATCAGATCAAATCGGCTATGAAAGGTCAAACCGTCCAAGGATTTGGAAAGAAGGAGGGAGATGGGAGTCCCTCGGAGACTCCGGGAAACAACTGGAAACCCCGATGAGAAGTTGCAGAAGGGACAACGCCCTGAGGCGAATGAGCAAGAAAAAGAGCTTCTTGGTTATACATACCACTATTTATGTGCCAATGTATTTACGTAGAATTTTAAAATCAAACTAGATATAATTAATTGAAAAACATAATTTGTACTATCTCCGTCCTATTGTTTTTGTCCACATTTAACTTTTGGAATTGTTCATCTAAGCACTTTGACTCATCAAATTCTCTTAATGTGTAAGCCTAAAAATAGTCATGTGTGATCTTGTTTGATTCGTCTTAACATATAGATTATTAATATATAATTTGTATAATTTTTTAATACGGAGTATACAAATTACAAGATAAAATGGATTAAAGAAGTGCATTGGATGGTGTGCCAAAAGGTAAGTAGACAAACACAGTGGGACGGAGGGAGTAATATATAATGCTATAATTATAAATATGAATTCAGCGACTGATGGTGCAAGTATGTCGTCATTATTGTCACTGATATGCGGCATCCAACGCGCTTCGGGCATGCCGGGACTGTAGTCGTCATTTCGGACATTTTGGATTGCTTCTCTTAGGCAACCTTGTTTGGAACTAGCACCCACTTAGAACATCCATGGAAGATGTTTCACGCCATAAGATGCGGGAATGAAGAAGAAAATTGTGTTTGATATTTATCAAGCGCTTGCTGCAAGACATTTTGTAACTTGAATCGCTCGCATTATTCAAGTAAATTTGTTGTGAAAACCATTATTTTTTTGAATTTTCTATTGATATCGCAGTACATAGGAACTATGGCGTGAATAAGGCAGTACAACTTTGAGTTCATCAACTCATGAAATTTTTCGGTCACTTTAGAAAAAAAAGTGTCGCTCATCTGATCATTCTCTCTACACTGATGAAAAAAACTTAAGAAAAAATAAATGTATAAAAAAATAATTTTACCTAAGAAAATCAATTCAAGTTAAACGCATCTCTTATCGGGTCTGTGGAAATGTTAGCCCAAATTTTGGCTAAAACTTCCTCTTCGTCATGGTCCAAAAATTTGGAGCACTCCGAGTTGTGCTAGGTCCCGCTTTACGTTTTCCCTTCCCTTTTGATTTTTTCGAGGTTGTGTTTCAGGCACAATCTCATCCATATCATATTGGCTTCGATATCGAAAGAAACATCCTGTGTGGGAGCCGTTGCATGTGGTGGTGGTGTTGAGAAGGTCGGGCGCCACTGGTTGTGGAACTGTTGCCATTGCATGAGTTGTGATTCTTGATATTTTTGCATTTGGAAAGAACTTGGCTCTTGAGTGTGAGCCGCAAATGAAGAAAAGGGAAAATTCGAGGAAGACACTAGTGGTCAGAATGGATCCATGGTACTAAAAAATATGACAAATGTTTAGCAAAAATAATGGATAAACGTGTGTGAAAAAGATGAGTGGAGTATTGTGTTTAAAAATGACTTTTTAAAAAATTTGATAACAGATATTTCAAAAAAATAATAATCTAACCATTAAGGCCAACGAAAAAATGGACAGGGGCTCCCGCTCTTCCCGTTCCCTCCCACAGAGGGAAGGGAAGGCAATATTCTCCTTCCCTTCCCATGTTAGGTGGCATCTCGTTTCTCCTTTACACTGGAGGCCCTAAAGAAAATTTAAATTTGATATCATCATTTTTATAACCCTACAAAATGAAGGAGTTTTGATATTTCCGAAATTTGGTAAATATTAATTTGGTACTTATTTTCTTCAATCACTATATATTCCACACCTGTTGGTAGCCATGATCACTGTCATCTGTCAGTCATCCTTCGCATTGATATTTCAAATCTCTCAAAAAAATATTTCAGAAATTCTAGCAGTACACCAAAAAAGTTTATCAGCTTTTATGGTGTATAAATGAGGTACACTGTACACCAAATAATGTACATTTAACGGGTAGACAATTTTGTGTATTCCTTGCATAACTCAAAATAAATATTTTAAATTTTAGATATCATAATATTATTTTTTGATTTCAGAACCGATATACAAATCACTTCTCATTAAAATATACCCCGATGTATTAGCTATAGGAGGAGTGATTAAAGATCACGTAATCAATGACAAAATTTCTAGGGGCATAAAGAGTAATTTATTACTCTGTAGTATTTTACATTCAAGATTAGTACTTGAATTCTAGTATTGCGGTGTTGTTACATAATTAAGAAGATATTTGAGAGTGTGGTTTGTTGATGAAAAAATCTTAAGATTTAAATATAAGCGAGAAATATATAATTTTGCTTTTGCTTAAAAATACTTGTGTAGTTCATTTCATACAATAGAAGTCATAGTTTATGAATAGAAACACATTGACAAACACGATAAAATACGAAAGAAAGCGCATCAACTCAAAAATTTAAATGCAACCCTTTTATTGGGTTGGCAAATAAAGATTCTATCAAATACGGAGTAATATTTATTGAGGTAGTACTACCTAGCATAAATCTCATTAATAATGGAATCACTACCCCTATGCATTAGCAAAGTCACTTTTAATGTAGAGCAACAAATTAAAGAAGATTATCATCAATCTTATTACTATAATAAAGTAAAGATGCCTTCGCAGTCTTTATAAATAAATATTTTGATCTCCGATGATGGTGAAAATATGTCAAATTAAAGTACTATGGTTCAATCTAGTTATCATATAATTTTTTTTTATATTTTCCACTTTCATTTCATCAAATAAAGCTTATTTACTCATAGAAATTTTAAAAAGCATAAACTCCATCCCCGAGAGACCTTAGAACTAACCACTTAAAATAAATAAATTAATCTTTGATCATAGATTGATGAAAAAAGTGAAACACACATAATAATTCTTACAGAAGCTTTATGCTTAACATACTTGTCATCCAACACAATTGTCAAAAAATAAATTTAAGTATTATCATGTGGATAGTTCTTATCTTGCCAATTGTGCAATGTCTATGGACAATCACAGAAATTTTAAATGGGCTATATTAGCCAATAGCCCATTCCACCATTGTTCATTTCTAGATCTTGGGCCATTTGGGCCTTGCGTATATTTATCTCGTTTGTTTAACCTTATACGTATAATGTGTTGAACTATTTGTGGGCCGTTTGCATCCAAACCAACATCCAACTCATCGAAAAGTTTCACACAATGTTAGACTTGTCAAAAAATGACTTGACCTATTTTTTATCTAAAACTTGATCTGAAAATACTGGGTTTTGAACAAAAGTTTTGATGACGGAACCCGAAGTTGACCGAAATAGAAATGACCCACTAAAAATAGGTCACACCTGACCGAATCAAAACTGACCTAACCGACTCGCTAAAGTAAGAGTTTTCCAAAATCCTATACTTTACTACTCGTTTTTAGTATATAAATTTATACTTTCAAACAAATTTTTAATGATATTGCATAATTATCTAACTTTTTCTAAAACTTAATCATTTTTTAAATTCCTTATATTGATTTATATTTCTAAAAAATTATTTCAAAATTTAAAATAAAAAATATAATAGATTCAATGCATATTTTTATATTTTAAATTTATTTTATACAAAATATAAGTGTTAATGTGAATTTAAAAATTTAAAAAACCAAAGTCATAATCCGTTAGATCGACCCGAACCCAATGACACTGGGTCATGAACATACAATTCTCAACCCGAATTTGAATTGACCTGAACCCAAAATAACCTGAACTCGAAGTGACCGAACTCAAACCCGAACCCGACCTGACCAACCAATTTGCCAGCTCTAAACAATGTTGATGAGTACTGTAATAATTACTTTGATGATGAGTTTCTTTTTTATAAAAAAGAAAAAGAAAAAATGAAGAATGAAAGTTAAAAAAAGGTTGAATTATTATTCAAGCTTTCCAATAATTTTTATTTATTTGTATATTTTCATTTATTATTTGATAAATAAAATATTTTTGCCACATCTTATTTTATACGAGTAGAACTTTTAACATAATTTTGAAGAATGTAATTTATTTTTTTATTTTTATAACAGTTTGTTAACAGAATAGTTTTGAAAGATACTCTTCCATATGAGATTTTGCATGTTGTTCAAAATGAAACAATAAATTTGGAATGGAAGATAGTAATATTTCCATCGTCTATGTTTAATATTCTCTTTTGATTTTTTACGATCTCCGATATTACATTTTGGCCATTAATATTGATTTTTATAAATAGATACTTGTATTTTATAAAAAATTAAAATTGCAAAATATTAATATTATACTCCGTATTTAATATAAAAAACAACACTTTTTCATGAATCAATGTCAAATTTATAAACTTTGACTTAGAGAAATTAAATAAAAATATTTTTTCCTCCGTCCTAAAATATTCTTCTTAGTTACTCCGAGTATTATTTACACAGTCAAATTTTAATCAAATTCTTTATCTATGTTTGTCTGACTGTCTGTTATTAAACAAAATAATATAATCTTGTCACCTCGTGTTTTATAAAATTTTTATGAAATGTTTAAATATGTAAATTTTATTTTTTTTATTTTAGACCTACAATCAAATAAATTGAATAAAAAATAAAATTGATCAAATTCACGTAAATAGAAACGACAAGAACCCTTTATGAGGGAAGGAGGGTAAATGAAGTGAAAGATTTGGGTGGGTTTGGGCATTTGGCGGAAAGCATGGTGGGCAATAATACTTGGATGATTGTAAAAATCACTTATTGGGCTCCATGGCGTGACAAATACGAGTACAGTAAACATGAGGCCTCCTTTCCGCAACAATAAATTACTCCCTAAATATATCTCACATTTCTATTAACGACCGAAAATATTATGAGTAAGTTTTTTTAATTTATTTTATTAAATATTGATATTGAAATAAAAAATAAAATTTACATATAAAAAAATTATATGAAAAGTTTTTTGAAATAAGAGGTATCAGAATATTTTATTTTATCAAATAATCAATGAAAACGTATAAATAAACAAAACTTCTTGCGACTGCTGAAAAAACAAATATGAGATATATTTAGGGATGAAGGAGGTATTTGTTTCCTCATACATCGCTTTATTTTATTTT